AAGAGGGGTAACTATCTGTAAGTTAGAACTTTTGAGTTCCCAGCGTGGGGCCATTCTGTCTAAGGGGAGGCTGGAGAACGAAGATCCCAGCCAAGCCCCATGTTGTAACAAATAAGAATAGCTACCCTCTTTAGCTGTCTCTTGCCAGTGTCTGGAACCTGTTCCTTTTCTGCAGTCATTACTCACAAGAGTCATTAAAAACCTTTTAAAAACTCTTTCCCCTCCTCCACTGAATTCCCTAAGATGTTGAACCAAAATGTCCGTGCTAATTTCCTTAATCATGCAGGGAAGACGTAGGCAAGAGAATTATGATGAAAGGGGGCAACAAGGATCTTCCAAAGGGTCACCAAAATTTTTTTGCAGGCTTTGCTGAAATAACAAAAAGAAGATGTACCCTGTGGCAAAATTAGGAGCACTGTGTCTCTAGTGCCAACTGTAGGCAAAAAAGACTTTGCCTTCACTTCCCTTGTCAAATATAAAAAGAAATGTGCATATGTTGCAGGTGAGGATGGCACTGGGAAGGTAGAGATGAACTTGGTTAAAAATAAATCCCCTTAGCTCAGAAACTGGCACTAGCTCTCACTCTGCCGGACAAATACTTTGAATGCATCAACTTTCTTTGGTGTACGGCTCAACTTTATAGCTGAACACGCAGAAGGGAGATATCAGATTTTAACTCAGATTTTTTCCTTGCAGAGCTGGCAGGAGAAAAAAAAACATTTTATGTGATGATTCCTGCTGTAGTATCTGCTGGTTTCTATTTTTATACAGGTTTTTAGTATGTTGCGCAACCTCTTTAATTCTAGATAGCTGATTTGTCCTGAGTTAACTGCTCCCCCCTTTGTGTATGTCTCTTGAACCTGCGAATGTACCCTAAAAAGTTCACACACACACACTTCATAAGTATATACAGAAATCTGATTATATCTATTATATTATAGATATAATAATGACTCTGAGAGCTGCTTTGCTGGACTATTTTTCCTAATTGTTCATGCTGCCAGTTATGACTTCAGCTGATAGTTTCTCTGGTGAGTCCATGGATGAGGCATCCTATCTGGAAGACTGTGGAATAAAGACCCATGCTACACTTAATACATCACAGAGTACGTGACGTTAGTGTAGGAGAAAATGTATAGAGCAATCCAAAGTGCTGTATTTTTCTCACACATCCACATGTTCCTACATGAGTCTGTGCTCTGTCTCCAGTTTCAGAGTATAGGTACCCAGAGATGAAAATTTAAGCCTGCAATCCTAAGCACATTTTCTAAGGAGTAAGTCCCATTGAACTCAGTTGGATTTATTTGTGAGTAAACATGCCTAGGATTACACTGGGCATCTTGAGAATATGATCAAGTTCATGGAAGACAACCTAGTCCTCTATCCACACAAAAGGGAAAACAGACAGGAGTGTCTACATATTTTTTCAAGTAATCATTGCTGTGCATGGAACAGATGGTTACCGGGAACAACTAGTCTATTTACCTTGAATGGACCTCCAGAATCAAAGTTGGGATGCTCTCCAGATTAAAAGAATGAAAGAAACAAAAGTAGAGAGAAAGCCAAAAGATCTGAAGGATGGAAAAGAATACAGAGGGATGGATGGATGAGCTATGAGACGCTGCCCTGCTCATAAGTTCTGTCTATATACATTCTCTCTGTCTGTCTCTTGGGCTTAGATGCATCTATCAAATAAAGCCCAGGTGCATAAAGCCTGCCTAGGGATCCCTATAAAATATGCATGATGATGTATGCAGGGTGTGAATGGAAACTACAGAAATATTCCCTAGCATACGGGATAGGTATGTTAAAGAAAGCATGCATATCCATTTTGGTCCATCGATCTATTTCCTTTATTGTCCGTCTATCAAGTTGTCTACCTGTCCTTGTCTAGTTCTTTCTTTTTTATATGTTTGTGCACATGGGATGATGGAGAAGATCGCGGATGTGGGCCAAGCAGTCTCCTTGCAGCCTTTTCTTTATGCTGTTCATACAGATGATTTAAAAATGGTGGCTGGGGCAGAAACCTCATCTCTCTCAACCCCGTTCTATAATCCTTCATATCTCACTTCTTCACATTCTCCTATGCAGAAGTGGGGGGGGGGGTCTACCACAGTTAAAGGGCAAACCTTCCTTCAGTGCATGAGGGTAGGGGGAGTCACAGTGGTATAGACCCCCCTCCTTTCAGCCGGTTTCAGCCCCTGCCTGCTCCTGTGTCTGTGTATCCCTGACTGGAGGGCCGTCTGAATGCAGCACTGCCTTGCACAGTCCTGCCTTCTGGCCTTCTCCTTCTCCCAGCCTCAACCGTCCTGCCTGCTCCTTCCTTCTTCCTCCCCCCACTGTAACTTTTCCTGGCTTCATTCCCAACTCTGTGGGGGAAGAAAGCGGGTGGGTGGATAAAGGAACCTGGCTGGCCTTGCACTCTTGAGACCAGCCGCGGGGGGGGGAGGGGGGGGGGGGGGGAGGGGAGGCACGGATTGTTGAATGCCTGCTTCCCACTGCAAACTCCAGGGCTTCCACACTGCACTGCGGTGCCCCCCTCCCCCCACCTTCTCAACCTGCTGTCTCTGCAGTTCCACAGACAGCAAAGCACGAATATTGTCCCTGGAAGTCATACTGAAAGGAGAGGGGGGAGGGCGTGTGAGTGGGAACTCTTCATCCTGCCTCTCCACCCCCTGCTTGCTTCACTGGTTCAGCTACTTTGCAAAAAGAAGTTCTGAACTCTTACTGAGGGAAGAGCTTTAGCTGCGGCGTCCAAAAAGGGGGGGCATGCAGTAAGAGGAGGGAAGTGTGGGGAAGTGCAGTGAAGGATGGGGATGCTGAGCTGCAGTGCCTGAGATGCAGCGGGGCTGGGGGAGGGGGGAGTTCTCAGCAGCACTGCTCAGACATGATCTGGGGAGAAAATCCAGAACTGCATTGCTGAGGATGGGAAGACGGGGACCTGGAGTTTCTCCCTGAGTTTATGCAGTGGGTTTGGATGTAATCAGGACAAGCAGGAGGCTTGCTAGATTTGGCAGTGGAAGGAGCACAGTGCGGGATGGGGTGGCTGCAAAACTGCAGTGGGATGTGAAGTTTCCAAAATGCAGGATGGGAGCAAGCGAGACCTGAGATTAATGTGGGGGAGGGAGAGCAGACCAAAGAGAAGGAAAGGGAGCTTTCCGTTCTCAGGACTGTGAGCAAAGAACTCAAGATGAATTGGCAGCACCTCCTGCTGGAGATCAAGGCATTCTCCCGGACTTCAACAAGCCAGCCATAAATCTGGTGCATGTGCATTAAAATCCTCCCGCTGCTACACGCTACTACACTCATTCACACACTTGTGTCCCATGGTGCTCAACTCTTGCTCTCAACTTTTTGTCCTTGTCCCTCAGCACCCTCACCTCCCGTTTTGCCACCTAATGCCTGGCCCCTTGCACAATCCCTACCGCAAACAGGCGCTCTGTGTACTCCATATTCCTCTATTTTTCTTCCCCTCCATTTCTCACACTTAGATTTCTGGACAATTCTTCCCAAGTCAAATCTCCATCATACACCAATCAACCCCCCCCCCGCAACATCACTGCTCAAATTCATCATGGTGCAAATGGTTTTGTGCAATTTTTCCCAGCAAGTCTACCTCTCCTGGCACACTCATGTGCACATCTGAAACACTCCTGGGTCCACATTTCCCCTTCCCCTAGCCGGTCCTTCCTCAGCCTGGTCTCCCTCAAATTACTGGGTAACAGTTCATACCGTCCTCAGTTCATGCTGGTTGGGGACAGTAGGAATTGTACTCCGATATTTCAAGAAGACACCAGCATAGGGAAGGTGGTCTTGATTTACCCTGGATGTCCGTCTGCATTATCTCACCACCGCTCATTCTCTGCAGGGCACTACCGGTATACTATGCACCTCAGTTACACATTTGCATGACATACCATGTGTGGCCTCTCCGTCTCTGAAGCAAATCCTTTCCCTATCGCAACACTTTCCTTCCCAGTCCATCCTGCTGGCATACTCCCCGCAGCACCCACATCTGCTGTCCCCCTCCAGCCCCCGGGGCCACATCTGTCCTTGCACATGATTGCAAAGTATTGCACATGGAATCTTGTGCATCAGTGCCTATCTGCTAGTCTATGCACGGTGGCATCGCCCATTAAGCATTTCCCATGAGGAGGCCAATGCATGCTAAGGGTTAAAGCACCCAGGGTCCAACATGCCCCCACCTCCCCCTTCTTTTTAGGCATCACTTATCTCCCTTCCTTTTCCTCCTCCTAACAGTGACACTCCAGCTCCAATGAGGTAGCAATTTATTTGGGAATGGGTCAGGATCCACAGTAAGGCTGAACCGCCTGCTCGTGAGTAGGATCGTGATTCAAATGCAGAAACAAAGGAATGAAAGGACATTCTTGGGACAGCAGTTTCTCCAGATTACTTTTTAAAACGAGTTCTCCTGAATGAAGAAGGTGAGGTGGGGAAAGCAGCCTAGCTCAGTGGCAGAAACATGGGTTGCATGCAGAAGTTCCCAAGTTCAATCTGTGGCATTCCTATTTAGCTGGTGGCAAGACTGGGGATGTTCCCTTCCTGCCTGAGCCCCTTGAGAGCTGCTGCCGGTCAGAGCAGAGAGCCCGGGACCGGAAGGCAAACCAATCTGGTGCAAGAGACAGCGATACAGGTGCCCGCTCCCAGCAGCTCCCGACACATACCGAACTTGCCCCTAGTCCTTGGCCCATTTACTGGGGATTAACATCTGCACCAACAAGCACTTGTTCAAGACCTGTGTTCACCCATTCTCCCACTATAACCCTTCCCTGCATGCCCCCGTAGCCCCCCTCCCTGCAGCCAGCTTCAGACATGCGAGCTCCTCGGGGCAGAGGCTTGCGGGTTCTTGCTCTCGGTCGCTTGCTTGGCTCTGCCATGGCTCCATGCAGTTCGCAGTAAGAGCGATGGGAGCAAGCAGCCGCAGCAGCCCCGACAGGGGCCCCCGCTCCGCCTGGGCGCGATCCGGCGCGGCGACTCACCCTGGCCATCTTGGACGAGTAGGGGTCCTCGAAAAGCGCCCAGATCTTGGGCTGCCAGCACGACCACCAGCCCAGCTTGCGCCCGTCCTCCTGCAGGCAGAGGCGCTTGAGGTCGCCGCCGCTGTCCTCATCGTCCTGGCTCTCGGGCGTCTCGAAGCTGTCCAGCGCCTCCTCGGCGTCGCGGTGCTGCCGGTAGTTCATCCAGCAGCAGGCCTCCACGTCCGTCTCGTCGATGCCCCAGAAGGCCAGCTCCTCCTCGAAGAGCGGCCCGCACACGTCGGCGGGGCAGTGCAGCTTGCCCGTGCGGTAGTAGTTGAGCACGTAGGCGAAGACCTGCGGGTGGCGGTCGAAGAAGAACTCGTCGGCCTTGGCGTCGTAGTCGAAGTTGCTGCAGGCGTCGGGCTCGGTGAGCCACGAGAGCCGCGTGCCCGGCAGGGTCTTGAGCGTGCTGCGGTACGTCTCATGCCGGATGCCGCCCACGTTGATGACGATCTTGTCGTTGTCCTCGTTCCGGCCCATCTCCCCTTTCAAACATGACTTGGACGGCGCCTTGTTGCCAGACTTGCGCCCGCGGAAGGAGGAGACGCACACTGAGCTCAGCATCGGGCGCGCGGGCCGGGGCCGGGCCGGCGGGGCCGCCCCCAAGGCCGGGCAGGAGTCAAATCAGCGCGCGCGGCGTCATCGCGGCCCCTCCCCTCCTCCTCCTCCTCCTCCTCCTCCTCGGCGGGGCGCGGGGAGCGGGAGGCTCTGCTCGACGGGGCGCGGGGGGAGGAGGAGGAGTTGGCCGGGCAGGAGCCCGCGGCGCAGCGCCCGGCCCTGCGAGAGACACAGAAGGAGACGAGGAAGGTGAGTGCGGGCGGGCGGCTGCCCCGCCGGCCCCCGCGCCCCCCGGCCCCCCGGCGCGCCCCCGACCCCTCCGCACGCCGCCCTGCCGCTCCACCGCCTTCCCGTCCCCCGCGCCCCCCAGCACGCCTCGCCGCGATGCCCCCCC